ACCTCTGACGGTAGCTCTCCGTCGAAGCCGACTGCCGATAAACCTTCCCGCAGCTTGTCCTCGTCCATCCCATCAAAGTCAGGCTCCGTGAACTTCGGCCTTTTTTGGGACGGTTCGCCATCAGATACAGTGGAACCCCACCTCCACTAGGCGCCTGAACAGGTACCACCAGCTTGTCCACCAACGGGTTGGCCTTGACCGAAACGAGCAACTCTCCGTGGACGCCAGCCGCCTCCAGCAACGCATCCAGCACCGACGTGTCGAGCTGCCCACCAGCAGCAGGCTTGGCCCCATCAGGCGGCTGCGGAGCCGAGTTGCCCAGCTGCTGCAGCTGGCCTTCCAGCTCCACGATGACAACCCGCTGGGCCGCTGCCTTAGACTCCGCCTCTGCCGCATCCTTCTGCAATTGCGAGAGCTCAGCCGCCTTAGCCGCCGCAACCTTCTCCAGCTTCTCCAACTTAGACGTCTCATTCTGCAGCTTCGTGGACAACTGCCGAATCTGCGCACACAGCGGTTGCTTAGAACGTCGCTTCTCCAGCAAAGCACCCTTTGCCGCCAGCGCGTCGGCCGCCATCTGCACCATGCCTGGCACGCCGACACAAGCCGCGTGGATGCCCTCGTGAGCTGCCACCTGCACCATAATCTTCGCGTTCTCGTCGTCCTCCGACTTGCTCTGCTCCGCAAGCTGCACACCAGGTTGCGCCCCACCAGGAAGCTTCTGGGCATTCTGCTTGCGGAGCTCAGCGACCTCCGCCTGCAGCCGAACGAGCAGCTTGGCCGTGTCCGATGGCGTCGCCCATGGAGGAGAGCGCTCTGGCTTGGGTTTGCGCACCGACGGGACCTTGGGCTCAACATTGCGAAGGAAACACGAGCCCTTGCGCATCCCACCACAGCCGTCTTTGACCCGCCCAGCACAGTACATCTTGTACCCTGGGTTGACCCAAGGCTCACCAGAGCGCTGCACACAAAAGCGACAAAGCCAATCCTGCTTCTCAGGCGGAGGGGCCATGGCAGCGACGACTGGGGAGTCAGGTTGGAGGCTCGCGAACCCCTCGACTGAGGGACCTCCGTATCTGCCGCGGACTAGCGGTATCCGTTTTTGCCAATGCGGGCTCAGCCCGCCAAAGCATAGGTCTTGAGCCAAAATGGCTACGGACACCCCGAGGGGAGAATCAGGCTACTCTTGGGCGGGGGGACAGAAAGCTACTCCCACTGGGAGTGGCCGTCTACCCCCCCAGGAGCAGAAGATTATTTCTAGCGGGTGTGGGGAAGAGTGTGTTCTTGCCGCTGTTGGCAGGGGTGGGTGTGTTCACCCCCCAAAAAAACAGAAACACGGGGGGGGGTCCCGAAGCGCCCCCCGGGGAATCTATTCGCAGAGGTCCAAATCCCCAAGCCCGGAAAATTGACTCGGGGGGGTCCAGCAACCTTTTTTCCCCCTCCGTGTCCCGGAACAGTTTTTTTGGGGGGTCCAGGACGCCCCCCCTGCCCAACCCCCCCTCCGCCACGACGACGACGACGACGAAACCGACGCCGCCGCCAGAAGACGACGCACGTCGCCGCCGCCAGCAAACGACACTTGCGAAGACGACGACGCTGACGCCGACGTCAACGCCGACGCTTACGACGACGACGACGACGACGACGACGACGACGACGACGAGGATGACGACACGACGACACGACGACGACGACGATGACGACGACGCACGAAACACGACACACGACACACGACGCACGACGCACGACGACCACGACGACCACGACGACCACGACGACGCCGATGCCGACGCCGACGCCAACGCTGATGCCGACGCCGGTGGCGACGACGACGATGACGCCGGCGACGCCGACGACGTCGACAACAATGGCACGAAGACGACGAAGACGAACACGACGACGACGACGATGACCTCGACGAGCAGAGCAGAGCAGGCGTAGAGTAGAGCAGAGTTTAGTAGGAGGTGAGTAGGGTAGAGTAGCGAAGATTAGAGTCGAGTAAAATAGGGTCGGATAAGGTAGGGTATAGTGGAGTAGCGAAGAGTATACTAGAGTCGGGAGATGTAGTTCCGATTGGACCAGAGTTTGACCGAATAAAAAATGGCATGGATCATGGGAACAGACATACAGAAGAACAGCGCGTAGCAGAGCACAGAGCAGAGCAGATCAGAGTGGAGTAGAGTAGAGTATATGTCATGTAGAGTAGAGTAAATTAGAGTAGAGTAGAGTAGAGTAGAGTAGAGTACAGTATTTTCGGAGCAACGTAGGGTAGAGTAGAGTATGCTAAGGTACTGCACTGTAGGGTAGAGTAGCGTCGGGTAGACTAGAGTAGGGGAGAGTAGAGTGGAGTAGAGAAGTGCGGAGTAGAGCAGGGTAGAGTACAGAAGGGCCCTTGTAGGATTCTGATAGAGCTGGGGCGAGCCCTAGAGGACCACGACGGCGACGCCGACGACGACGTCTACGAAAACGACGAATGCGACGGCGACGAGCAGGGTGAAGTAGGAGTGCGGTGAATAATGATAGGAGTGTAATAGAGTAAAGAAGGGTAGAGTAGAGTCGAGTCGAGCAGGGTGGGGTACAGTAGTGTAGAATAGAGTCGGGTAGAGTAGGGTAGACAGGGGGGATGCATATCATTTCCCAATCAGAGCTTTCTTGAGGGGTCCTAGCGGATTCATATGGTTAGGTTAGGTTTGTTGCCGATTTTCGCTGCACGCCCGGGTGCCCGGATGCCCGGGGGTGCCCGGGGCCGGGTGCCCGAGGGGTGCCCGGGGGTGCCCGGGTGCCCGGGTGCCCGGGCGTGCCCGGGGGTGCCCTATAGGCCTATAGCCCTAAGCCCTATAGCCCTATGGTCCCCATAGCCCAATAGCCCTATAGCCCTACAACTCTATAGCCCTATAGCCCTACAGCTCAATAGCCCTATAGCCCCCTAGCCCTATAGCCCTGATTGGGGCGTTTCTCCGGTATCAGGTTATACGAGAGTAGAATGGAGAGTATAATAGAGTAGAGTAGGGAGCAGTAGATGCGTAGAGTAGAGCACAAATAGACCAGACTATGGCAGAGCAGAGCTAGGTATACTGGAGCACAGTAGGTGTAGAGTAGAGTCGAGCAGAGTAGAGTAGAGTAGGACCACAGAAGAGTAGAGTGGAATAGGGCAACGTAGAGTTGAGTAGAGTAGAGTACATTACAGCAAAGTAGGGTAGGGTTTGGTAGAGTAGAGAAGAATAGGTCAGGGTACGGCAGGGTAGAGTATAGTAGGTTCGTGTAGAGTGGGGTCGAGTGGAGAAGAGCGGAGTAGAGGACCGTAGAGTGGAGTAGGGTAGAGTAGGGTAGATTCCAGCGAGCCCTAGCAGCATTCTATCAGAGACAGCGCCTGGCGCGGGTGCCGGCGTCACGTGCGCCGCCGCCGCCGCCACGCCTTCCGTCTTTGCTCCGCCCTCCTCTGGATATTTCTGGGCACGTTCGACATCAGTCTCTCCAGGACGTCTACCGGGATTTTGTCAAAAAAACGCGAATACCCCCAGCGCATAGAAAGGACGATGCCCATGGGAAGTGTCTGGGGGAACGCTGCAGGCAAGCACGGTCTGCAACGGCGGCGTGCACAATCGTGGCAATAGTGAGGGTATTCTTTTGGACCTGTCCGGGAGTCATGAGGGCCGACGCGGTCGGCACCTCCCAGGATCTGCACGCACGAAATGGGCACGGAAAGAATGGGCACAATGCCCAACAGCATCTCCTGTTCATTTTGAACCGGATTCGCTGTCCGCGCCGCCGCGGCCTGTGTCCATTCGAGACAGATGGCCGCTTGCCCAACAGCGGCCGCTGTTGGTTTGGGACATCATTTGTTGTGGGGCATTGTACCCATTTTTTCCGTACCCATTTCGGGCGTCCAAACAGGAGGGGTAGAAGGCTCACCCCATAGGGAGGTAGAAGGCTATTCCGAGGGGGCGGCGGACGGGAAGCGGACAGGGTCGGCTCTGCCAAAGAGGGGTAGAAGGCTATTCCACAGGAGAAAGGGTGGCGACTCACGGGAAAGTAGAAGGCAACTGCGGGACTGCGGGGAGTAGAAGGCTACGCGCCGCACGGAGTAGAAGGTTATTCTTCGCGCGGGGAGTGCAAGGCTACTCCAGGGAGTAGATCGCGGGAGAGTAGACAGGCAGTCAAGGGAGTAGGAGGCTTTTCCCGGGGGGGTAGAAGAGTATTCAATGGAGTAGAGGCTACCCGAGGGAGCAGTAGGCTACTCCTGGGGAGTAGAAGGCTACTCCAGGGAGTGGGAGGCTTTTCCTGGGGGGAGTAGAAAGCTTCTCCAGGGAGCAGAGGGATCCTGCACGGAGAAGAAGGCTACTACCAGGGGGGTTAGAGCATTATTCCAGGGAGTGGGAGGCTACTCTTGGGGGGGTCGATGGCTATTCCAGGGCGTAGAAGGTCACCCCAGTGAGTAGAAGGCTCCCAGGAGAGAAGGAGGCTACTCCAGGGGGGAGTAGGAGGCTACTCGTGGGGGGAGTAGGATGCCACCCCAGGGAGTCGGAGGCTGAGAGTAGAAGGCTACTCCCAGAGGAGTGGACGGCAACTTCAGGGAGTAGGAGGTTTCTCCCGGGTGGAACGGGGGGCGGGGCCTTCGGACGGGATGGACGGAGCCGGCTCTTCCCAGGAGGGGTAGAAGGCCACTCCCGGGTGAGTAGAAGGCTGCCCTAGAGTAGGAGGCCACTCCTTGGTCTCCTCCGCTTATTCTGATGCTCTTCTGCCTCATCCGCCGTTTTTGTGTTTTCTGCCCCCTCCGCACATGTTTTCCCAAGAAGCTCTCTGCACCGCAACCGCGTTTTTGTTCCTTTCTCTCCTCCCTGCGCCCATGCTCTCCCGCTTTCCCACCTCCATGCGCTCCCCGCTTGCTGTCCTGCTCCCCTGGCCATCATGATTTTGCCTCCTGCCTTCTCCGCTCTCCTGCAGAGGCCGCCTTCCTGCGCCGCGTCGAGTGCTGCTGGCTCTCGCCATCGGCCTTCCTCCGCAGCCCTGGCTCCAGCCGGGTGCCTGGCCTCCTGCCTCCAGCCGAGGCTCCAGCCTGGAGCCGGGACCCTTGGGCGCTAGGAGGGCCGCCGGCCCCCTTCGGCCCGGGGCCCCCACCCTTCGGCGACGGCCCCCGCCCGGCTGGCGCACGGCGGCCTGCGCACGCCAGGGCCAGCGGCACGCCGTCGCATGCGCCCGCGGCGCGGAGGCCCGCGCGCCGCCGCCGCCGCGCTCGCCCCGCTGCTGCTGCTGGCCGCCGGGCCTGCCGCGGGCGCCCCCGCGCGGGCCTCCGCGGAGTCCAGCGCCTGCGCCTCGCGCTGCGGCGCCCTGGGCCCGCTGCTGCGGGAGGCGGCTGCGCTCACGGGCGCGCCCGCGCCGGCCGCGGCGCTGGCGGAGCTGCGGGGCGCGGGCGAGGAGGCCCTCGCGGCGTGCCCCCTGGCCAAGCTCGTGCTGCAGCTCGGGCTGCTGTACTTCTCCGGGCCCGGCGCGGCCGCGCCGCTGGGGGAGTTCCTCTCGGGCCTGGACGCGTGCGACCTCACCGAGGCGGGCCTCTTCCGGATCGCGCGGCTGTCGCGGCCGCAGATGGCCCACGCCTTCTGGCTGATGAGCGGCGCCAGCGCCAGCGCGGTGCCGCGGCAGCTGCTGGCCCGCCTCGGGCGCAACGGCACCGGCTCCGGCGACCTTCATCGGCCCTGCCGCCGCCTGGCGTTCGACCTCGGGTCGGGCCACGGCGACGACGCCGCCTTCTACCAGGCTTCAGTCGGGCCTGTCCCTCTACAGAGGGAAAACTGGAAAATAGTACAGAAATAGTCGGGGGGCGATTTTTGGACTATTTTCGGTTTGAGGTATTTTTGAACATTTTGGAGGATTCCTTTATTTTTCGCCCAGCATATATCTGTAGGGGGGCCTGCCCGACCCAATACCAGGCGCTCGGTTTCTGCGTGGTCGCCACCGACGCCCAGCCGGGCTCCATGGGGGGCCTGCCCAGGGGCGCGGGGCGCAGCCTGATGAAGCTTCGGCGCGCCATTGTCGCGGAGGACGGGCCAGTCACGATCCGTTTCTTCGTCTGCGGGGTCGACGTGACGCGTAGCTCGACTGACCCGGCGCTGGGGGAGAACCCCGACTGGTGCCAGGACCAGAGGACCGTCGAGGTGCTCACGACGACGTGCGGCCAGCTCGTGGGAGACTTCGGCGCCCCCGCGCACGTCAAGGTCGACGTGGAGGGAGCTGATCTTGCGTGCCTCGACTCGATGCTGCCCGTCGCCCAGCCAGGGACGATATCCGTCGAAGTGCCAGTCGGCCAAGCTGGGAGGGCGGACGTTCAGGCAAGCATACGGCTACTGCAGCGTCTCCAGCGAGCTGGGTACCGCCGGTTCAAGCTGTGCAGGCAAGCGCTGTTCAACCCACCATCCTGTTAAGTCGGGCCTGTCCCTCTACAGGAGGAATATTCAGAAATAGTGAATAAATAGCCTGGGGACGATGTTTTAACTATTTTTGATTATTGTTGAATCTTTGTTTGACTATTTTCCATTGTTCGTCCAGAATCCTCCTGTAGGGGGACACGCCTGACCTAACCATACTGGGGGGGAGACATGGCATCCAGCGGACCTTTTGGCGAGGCCGCGACCGACTGGCAGCGTGGTTTGGTATGGCGAGATGCAGAGGACGTGGCCCAGGACTTCCAGGTCATCGCAGACACGCGCGCGGCGGGAGGCCTGGTGGCGGAGTGGTTTGATATACACGCGACGTTGAGGCGTTGAGAAGATCAGCTGCTGCCTGAATTCAGCCACGCGCAGAGGGGGGTGGGGAGAGGGGGGAGGCGTAAGGCCGGCGCGCCTTCTAAGAAGCAGCCTCCTTCTAAGAAGCCCTACCCCCTCCCTCCACCCCCTTTTGCGCGCCGCCAATGAATGCTGAGGGCAGGGGGCAGTTGCGGGCTCTTGCAGCGGCGGCGTAGGACATCACGGTCTGCCTCGTGCCTCTGTTGAGATTGAGCTCTGATGCTCAACATGAGCGTGCTGATGATGAACCTGGAGTAGCTCGAGAGCGGCTGTCATGGGCATACAGCGCCTGCGATGTCATGGACGATCGCCCTAATTATCATGGGCTCCTACGACGCGCACCTGGATGCGGTGCGGATGGTGCTTGGATGCGGTATGCGGTACGCTCTGGACGACGCTGGGTCGGGCGTTGTGTCGCGCTGGCGGTCATGTGGAGTGGATTCCCCCCCATCGGCGCTCCTCGGAAAACATCTCTGGCCAGTTAGGCAGCTCACTGGAGTGACATGCGAAGAACTGTTGGCAAGAGCGGAGAGGATGATAAGACTGGACCAGACCAGACTGACCCGAGGGTCCGCTCACTCGCCCTCAGAATCTCCCTCTTCCCTTCCTTCTTCGCGCTCCTCCACCTCTTCCTCCTGATCCTCTTCGTCGTCGTCCTCGGGCCCCCCACGACACGGTTCAGTTGCCCCTTCCCCTTCTGATCAGGCCCCACAGGACGCACGGGCTCATTTTCGTCAACAAAGAGCATGGGTTTCGTCGATTGTTTGGCTCCTTGAGCGCACTGGGCTCTCATTTGCCAGTAAGCTTCGGGAAACGCAGATACACAAAAGAAAACCCCAATCAATGGGTTTTTGAATTTTCCGCACGTGCCTCAGTCGGCCTTCCTCACACCCTAGTCGAATTCGAATGTACAATCTAGTCCAATATACCAATATAGTTAGTATATGTTCCTCTGTCTCTCTCTCTCTCTCTCGCTTTCTTTTTCCTTTTCGCCCTCTGTCTCTCTAGTTCTTTGTGTCTGTCTCTGTCTCTGTCTCTGTCTCTGTCTCTGTCTCTCTCTCTATATATATATATCGGAGGTTGGGGGGTGAGATCGCAGTCGAACGGAGATCCCCAACCAGGAAATCGTTTCGTTTCGTTCGTGTCGTGCGTGCGGGCGAGGCGAAGCTGCGTGGGCGCGCGAGAGGAATGAACCAGCCGTTGCTAGGGCGAAGTCAAGACAACTGATTCTCCTCCGTCCGTCCAGCGGTGGCCCTAGCGGTGTCCCGCGGTGTCCCGTGGTGTCCCGTGGTGTCCGCCGATGCTAGGGCGAAATCAAGACAAATGATTCTCCTCCGTCCGTCCGGCGGTGGCCCTAGCGGTGTCCCGCGCTGTCCCGTGGTGTCCCGTGGTGTCCCGTGGTGTCCGCCGTTGCTAGGGCGAAGTCAAGACAAATGATTCTCTTCCGTCCGTCCGGCGGTGGTCCTAGCGGTGTCCCGTGGTGTGTCGTGGTGGCCCGTGGTGTCCCGTGGTGTCCCGTGGAGTGAGATCGATAGTGAGATCGATAGTGAGATCGACAAGTGTCCCGTGGAGTCCCGTGGTCTCTCTTTGAGTGAGATAGATAGTGAAATCGATCGTGAGATCGATAGTGATAGCGATGTGGTGCCCCGAGTTGTCCCGTGGTGTCCCGTGGTGTCATATGGTGTCCCGTTGAGTGAGATCGATATTGAGATCGATAGTGAGACCGATCGTGAGATCGAGAGGTGTTCCGCGGTGTCCCGTGGTGTCCCGTTGAGTGGGATCGATAGTGAGATCGATAGTGAGATCGACAAGTGTCCTGTGGTGTCCCGTTGTGTCCCGTTGAATGAGATCGATAGTGATATTGATTCAGTCAGATGATGGTTCCCCCCCCCTCTCCCTCCCCCCACAACCTCCTCATCTCTCGAAGGGTGGGCGTATAGGTATATGAACATGTACCACTCCCTGTATGTTCCTGTCTAACTGTATGAATGTACATGCGCGTACTGTCTCTTTACGTCTCTCTCTCTCTCTCTCTCTCTTTCTCTCCCCCTCTCTCTATTCTGCTTCTCTCATTCTTTATGTATCATGGTTGTTTGGATTTGTTTTTCTCTATCTCTATCTCTCTCTCTCTCTCTTTCTATATATTGGAGGTTGGGGGGTGAGAGCGCAGTGAAATGGAGATCCCCACCGAACATCTGCTTAGGACTCGCGTTCGTTTAGTGCGTGCGGACGAGGCGAAGCTGCGTGGGCGGGCGACAGGACTGAACCAGCTGTTGCCATGGCGAAGCCGAACCAAACGTTGCTGTCCCCCGGGTTGGCCAGCAGTGGCCCTGTGGTGTCCCGATGGTGTCCTAATGGTGTGCCGATGGTGTCCCGATGGTGTCCCGATGGTGTCCCGTGGTGTCCCGTGGTGTCCCGTGGCGTGGGGGTGTTCGGTGTTATGTTATATTTTATGCGGTATTATGCTATCGATAGTGAGACCGATAATGAGATCCATTGGGCGAGATCGAAAGTCAGATCGATCGTGAGATCGATAGTGAAATCGATAGTGAGATTGGTAGCACGGTCGATTGAGTGAGGTCGATAGTCAGATGGATAGCAGGATCGATAGTGAGATCGACCGTAAGATCGATTAAGTGGGATCGATATTGAAATCGACCGTGTGTTCGGTCGTGATATCGTTAGTGAGATCGACAGTGAGATCGATTGGGAGATCAATACTGATATCGGTAGTGGCATCGATGGAGTGGCATCGATTGTAAACTCGATAGTGACATCGATGATGACCTGGTAAGTGAGACCGATAGTGATAACGATCGTGACATTGATCGTGAGATCATTCGTGAGATCGATCGTGAGATCGATCGTGAGATCGATGGTGATATCGATAGTTATGCAGTGCGATCGACAGTGAGATCGATAGTGAGATCGATAGTGCGATCGAGAGTGAGAGGTAGTGAGACTTAGTGAGATCGGTAGTGAGATCGATTGAGTGAGATGGATTGTGATATCGATAGTGAGATCGACCTGGAACCCGGGAACCCGTGAACCAGAAACTGGAGCCCCGGGGACCCCGCCGCCCACCGAACTCGGCCCGGAACCAGCAACCGAGAGCCGGGGAACCCGGAACCAGGAAGTCGGGAACCCGGCCGCCTACAGAAATCGGTGGGGAACTTTCTCCAAACTTGTCGATCTCCGCTCGGATCCCCTTCAGTGCACGCAAGCACTGATTGGGGGACAAAAGTGTCTTTCGGCCGTAAGCCTCTGGACCCACAAAACACGAGGGGTCCTGCCGTTCGTAAGCCTCGGGACCCACCACAGCAAGCGTCGTCCGCGAGCATGGGGGTCCAGCAAAACACGACCGGACCCCTGGACCCCATCTTAGCCTTTTTGCATCAATTTTCGGGCCGGATCGATCTGTGAGTGTCCCGGGGCCCGAAATGGAGCGAAAACGCCCGGCTCGAAAAAAATGAGTCGCCAGGATCTAACGGTTTTGTCCGCAGGGTCTGGCAGCCGCGGAGGACGTGCTCCTGTGCTTCTCTTGCCCGCGAGCCCCTGCTCCAAGAAAACAGCACGGGCCCCTGTCGCCCGTGCGCCTCGGGCCCCACCGGGCCCACAGGGCCCCCCCCTCCTCTCGTCCTCGCCCTAGTGTCGTCTTCGAGGAGAGCGGAGGAGCAGAGAGCAGCGGCAAGCGAGCCCGCAGAGCTCGGCACGGGAGGCCGAGACGTCGAAGAAGGAGGAACGCCATACCAAATAAATTTGTGGCGCTCCGCGCGGATTTCCTGGATCCGCGCTGGGCCCCCCCCGGCGGCGCCTCCGGCGCCGCCCCTGGCGCGCTCCGCGCGCCAGGGGCCCGCGCGGAGCGCGGAGCGCCAAAAGTCTCTGTTTATTGCGTTTTCTCTTCTCAACATTGAAAACGGCGCTGGGATTTCCTAGAAACCCGCGCGGAGCGCCAAAGTTTCTGTCGATGGCGTCATCGTTCTTCATTTAGGGAAGGCACGAAGCGGACAGCTCCCCAAGCCGAGATTGTATGGGGATGAGCGGCTGCCGCCCCGGGGCGCAGGCCTCGGGCGGCAGGAGGACGAGCTCAGAGGGAGGCAGCGGTGGAGGGTTCCTCCTCCTCCTCCTCCTCCTCCTCCTCCTCCTCTTCCTCCTCCTCCTCCTCCTCCTCCTCCTCTATCTCCTGCATCTCCTCCTCCCCCTCCTCCTCCTCCTCCATCTCCTCCATCTCCTCCTCCTCCTCCATCTCCTCCTCCATCTCCCTCTCCTCCATCTCCCCCTCCTCCTCCTCCTCCTTCCCCTCATCCTTCTTTCCTCCTTACTTCTCCTCCTCTCCTCCTCCTCCTCCTCCTCCTCCTCCTCCTCCTCCTCCTCCTCGGGTCGCCTACGGCCCCGGGGGAAACTGTGCAGGCAGAGGCCCTAGGATCCCGGCGTCTCGGCTCCTGTCGAGCCGGGCGTCCGCGCCCAGTCTTGAAGGCCCAGGGCAGCTTTGGTCGACCAGCCTCGGCGCGGCACGAAGCGGACGTACCTCCCCTAGAGGAGCGAACGGTAGCCCGCCAACAATGAAGTTTCAGAGCCCCGCCTTGACCCGTTCTGTCTGTTTGCAGAGGCGTAAGTTTCCAAGTGTTATTTTAAATGGAAGAAAGAACACAATGTCCGCCTGGGCCCCGTCGGAGGAGTGGAGATGCGAGCGCAATGGCGTGCGCGGTCGCACGCGACCCGCCGCTGGTAATAACGTGAATGCGCGAGCGTCGTGCGATGACGGCGGCGTCTGTGCCAACGGCGACGACGACGGCGTCAACGGGATAAACAGTTTATCCACGGGATAGAATGCGGTTCAATGTCCACAACAGGCGGGGAGGCAGAACTTGATTATCCCCTCCGAGGTTTCTTTCGCAGCTCTGATCTTCGGGAAGATCGATCCAGACATCCTAGCACCGATATCTCTGGGAACAAGTTACTTATCCTCCTTGGACCCCGAATCTCATTATCCCCGAGGGATGATTCTCACCGCCGTAGAGTCAGTCCTGTTCGGGCACCCTCGGCCCATGGGGAAAACATCGGAAGGTCGCGGGACAGGCCTGAGGCGACTGCGGGCCAGGCTGCGGGACCAGATCGGGTTCAACAGCTTCTGGATTTTGGATGGGCTCCAGACCCAGGCCCGCAGCACGCACCGCCGATTCTGGACCACGGCGGCGACGGTCACGGCGACGGCGATCCGAGTATTTTCTTTTGGTGGAGGGCACAAGGAGGAATCTGAAATGCCGTTTCGATTGATTTTCGAGGCTTGAACCTGCAAAGGGTGAATCACAAGACGGATTGATTCCAAGGTGCAACAGCGCATATGGATCTCACCCAGAGCCCTCCATTCTAAGAGAATGCTCAGGCGATGGCGGCGGTGACGACAACGACGGTGGCGGCAGCGACGGCGACGTACGAGCCCCCGGGCCAGGCGCTGGGCGGCCGCGTCCCGCAGCTGATGCACTTGTGCGCCACGGTGGAGCGGGCCGCGCAGGCGGCCGGTTGGGTCTCTGGCGTTGGCCGCCGCCCGCGGAGACCTTCTGCGGAGGGGCAACGTTGAGCTCTCTCGACCCTGGCCCTGGCCTCAAGTCGGGCACGTCCCTTTACAGGAGGAGTATCCAAAAAATGTTCCACGCGTAGTCCGGGGACGATTGGCCGACCATTTCTGACCATTTTAGAATATTTTGGGGGGATGTTTTAAATTTTTCGTCCAAACTCCGCCTGTACGGGGACAGGCCCGACCTAACCCTGGCCCGTTTCTTGTTTGTGGTTTTCCCCGGGCCCAGCGCCGGCTCCTGTGGAGGCTCGAGCTCGGGGGCGCCGGCCGTCACGACTCTCTGTTGCAGGACGACGCGCTAGTAGGTTCCCCGCGGCGGCGTGTCATCGATCTTGTTTCGGGGGCTGCCAAAGAGGGGGTGATGACTACGCGGGGGTGGGTATCATGGCGGGGGCCACGATACCTCCCCAGATGTCATGGCGCCTCTTCTTATTTCGATACGTCCCCGCCCCCCCCCTGGAGCCGCGCACGTGCCGCCAGCTATGATTTGCGCGCCCCCCTCTTGGACGCCCCCCCTCTTGGCCGCCCCCGATTGCTCTTTCCCCCCCTCCTTAGGAGTGGGGGGGAAGTGGTCGTGGCGCACGCAGCGGCGGGCCGGTGCCCTCTGAGGTCGGCCCACACCGTCGGAGCCTCCTGGCGGGCCCTGGTCTGGGAGCCACCAGAGGCCGAGCCCCCTCGCCCCTCCTTGGGATGGCCTGGGCTTGGGAGCCACTGTGCGGCATACGTCGGGGTTCGCGATCTCGCCCTGGATGGCCCGAGCCGGCGCCAGCCAAGAATTGCTTTCGCTTCGCGGGGCGCACGTGTGGAGCACGCAGGTGCTGGGCGTCGGGCGGTCTGCCCTGCTCGTCTGCTGCGGCGCGCTGCCGCGTCGCTCTGCCCGCCCCCGGTGGCGCTGCAAGTGCCGCGGGGGGGGGGGCCGACGAGCCCCCCCCCCCCCGCAGTTTTTAAGCGCCAGGGTTGGTTAAGTCGGGCATGTCCCTCTACAGAAAATTATCTGGGGACGATTTGTTTCACTGTGTTTGCTTATTTGCTGGGTATTTGTTTGACTTTTTTTTTCGTCCCAGATCCCCCTGTAGGAGGGCATGCCCGACCTGACGCCAGGGCAAGCGTGCAAATGTCCATGAGGGCAATGGGCACGCACGCGTGTCAGCACAAGGCAGCGCCAAGTTCAAACTCCGATGAGCATAGCACCAGCACGCCATTCGTATACAATTCCGCGGGT